CGGCTTGTCTTCGGGCTTCGGCCCCGGCGAGTCGTCTTCGGGTGCCGGCGCCGGCGGCGATTTCCTGACGCGCTACCGGCTGGTGTCGTCCAAGCTCCGCAAGCGCTTCCTGCGCAAGCCCAACGTGTCGGAGGCGTCGGAGCAGTTCGCGGCGCTGGCGCGGGAGCTGCGCGCCCAGGAGAGCCTCCCGTACGCGGCCTGGTGCCAGCTGGCGGTGGCGCGCTGCGCCCAGAGCTTGGGCCACCCGGCGGGAGAAGCAGCAGCGCTAGCCGAGGCGGCGCGCCTCTGGCTGCGCCACGAGCGGGAGCTCCGCCTGCGGCAAGGCCCCGGCTTGGGCCTCTCCGAGTACCTGCCGGCCGCCCACGGCTGCGTGGCCTTCGCTGCTCGTCTCCACGTCGACTTGGGGCAGCCGGCGCTGGCGGCCGGGCTGTGGCTGGAGCTGGGCAACGAGCTGCGCTCCGCCGGAGAGCCGAGCCAAGCCGTGCCGGCTTTCCTGCGCGCTGCCGACCTGCTGGCCGCGGGCCATCTGCCCTTGGAGGCGCTGCACGGGCTGCGAGACGTTGCCTCCTGCCTGCTGCTCGGCCGCGACTACGACGGCGCCCTGGCGGTGCTGACGCAGGCCCAGCAGCTGGCCCAAGGGGGCGGCTGCGGACCCTCAACCAACGCCCCTGCCTCCTCCTCCTCCTCCAGCGGTGCCCCGTCGCTGCCCGGCGCCTTCCTTGACCACCTGCTCCACTGCGAGGTCACCCGAGTGCTGCTCTTGCTCCTGCTGCAGCCTCCGCCATCCAAGCTGCTGCCCGAACACGCCCAGACCTTGGAGAAGTACTCTTGGGAAGCCCTGGATGCCTCCTCGGGCTATCTTCCTCCTGAGCTTTTCTTGCTGCTCCAGTCCACCGTCATGGCCTGCCAGGAGAAAGACTTGGAATCTCTGAAAGTTCTGCAGAAGGAACTGTGGCCGCTGCTGACGGCGGAGCAGAACAACCTGTTGCACTTGGTGGTGCAGGAGATGATGGCGCCCTCCGGTCAGGGGTTCTGACTGGGGGTGTGTGTGCCCCTGGTGTTACATTTCCAATGCTCTCCGTCCATGGATAGGTCTGGGTGGAAGAGTCGAAAGAACTTGAGCAAACCTTCCCGCAGTAGTCAGTGGGAAGAGGGTGAAATTTTCAATTTTTGTTCCTCTGTCCCAGGGATCTTCAAACTTGAAGGCTTTAAGACTTGTGGACTCCAACTCCCAGAATTCCTCCTCCAGCCATGTTAGATCAAGGATTCTGGGAGTTGAAGTCCACAAGTCTTAAATTTGCCAAGTTTGAAGACCCTTGCTCTGTGCGTTAAATGTCACTAAGCTTCCCACAGGATGAAGTGTGGATACCTATGAGCCCCCAATACATTGGATGATATCTCCTTCCATTTTTAAACCTATTTTTTGCCTGTGCCACAGGGAGTTTTCCCCCCGATATTCCTGGTTCTTTCTACCTTGTCATTCCTTGAACTTAAATTATGAGCTTGAGAGAACTGCGCATATACTGTTGGCCCGTATTCTATTTTGTGGCTGCTTAGAAATTCATTCTTCATCCCACAGGCCACAAGTGAAATGAGCTTTGCAATGTTGGCTGAAAACTGACCGGAGCAGTTCTCTTGTTTTCATTGAGGTGACGGAAAGCTTTAGAAGCCATTTTGATCAGTGTTGCCAAGTGTATTGTGTTCTTCTCAGTGCTGTTGCTTCTGATGGAGGCTATATTAAAATCAACATGGATGATGTGAACAACAATTTGGGAGAGTTGAGGGAATTTCACAATATTTCTGTATTTGAACCCAAATGGGATTTCTAAATGGTGTTCTCAGGATTCTGTATTGGATTAATTTCTGCCTTGAAATAATCTGAATGTTTACCTTGCTTGAGTCAGCTGGTTGTGTAATTTGATTTGGATCTGACATGAGTTCTTTGAAAATAAACTGGTTTCTTAATTGGGATGTGGGGAAGCCTGATATTTTTAAGTAACCTTTTCCCCTCAAGGTATATTCAATTTTAAATATGCACTATTACTTTATGAACAAGTGCCCCTTTATGTTATTAGAGTAAAAAGAGATTTATGCTGTAGCATTAAAAATCTTGCCCTATTGATTTTTGCAATTCTTTCCCATCATAATTAAGGCATTTCAGTAGCTGCATTGGAACCAACTTGCTGGTATGTGCTAGTTTAATTTGGGCTTAATTTATGTGACACGCAATTGTGACCCATTCAACACATTACGATTAAAATGTTGGCATGCTATATTTTAATATCAATTTGACCTCATGTCTGTTGCAGCAGGAACACTGAAGTGACAAAAGCACTTGGCCTGGTACAGAGATTTTTACTAATTACTATTCTTACAGATGAACGCAAAGTGATCTAATAATGAAATGAGTATGCCTTCTACTATATTTTGGAAGGAGACAGCCTAAAGCCTAAAGCTTGGGTTCTTGCTCCTGAAAACATCCCAGTCCAACTTGCTTGCACTTTGTGAGCCAAACTCACTGAGGTGACGAAGAGAGCTTTCCCAGCTGATGTCAGTGTGCAAGGTGCTGCCTCCTGTATCGTCCAGTCCTAAGTACCAGTATAACATACTTGCTCGATACCTGTGCTTCGCTATGAAACTATGGTCGGGCTTAGTTTTTGGGGAGGAAAATAAGGATGGGAAAATTCTGCCTCTGCCTACCAGCATCCATCATCGGTATTCATCTGGCAAGTGTCCTGTCTGTGTGTGAGAGAATTGAGGGCTGTTTGGAAACTGAATCAGTATTTTCTGTGTGAGCAAGGAGTCAGCAAGGAGCCTGGGCGTGGCTTAGCTCAACTGTTCTGTACTAAAGCTGGTTGCTGCTGTGAAACTGAAACTCCTGCTTGTGTTTTGCATTTGGAAGAGATTTCAGGTGGGGAGGGGGAGTAGAACTCCTTAGCAACAGAGCCTGTTAATAATAATATATGATATACTTTAAATGCTCTGATGGTCATTTTGAAAAATCCTTTCTCAGTGAGCACCTAGAAGCCAAGAGGAACATACGTGCCAAATTTCAAGTTTGTAGACTTAACGGTTCTGGAGATTTTGTGATGATGCGTGAGTGGTCTTTTGCTTTTATATAGATTCTCAAGTGAAGCTGATTCATCCTCTGGCCTCCCATGCAAGGCACCCATTTTCTGCCTATATGAGCCAAGGGATGGCGGGTAGCCTCTTGCTTACAGATAATTCACTTAACAAAGTCGTCCCCCCCCCCCCCCCCCCCCCAATAAGCAATAATGATGTTATTTATTCAAGTCAAAAGTCCAACTTTGGGGCCAGGTCTCTCCACATCTTCTGATCTTGCTCTGCGTCTTTTGAGTTTTTCATGCTCCAGTATCAGCTTTGATAGTGTCCAGTCATTGGTGGTCCGGTTTCCTTTTATCACTAACTCTTCCAAACATAATTGCTTTCTCCGGTAAGTTCCCCCGCATGACACAGAAACAGATTTCACAAGAAACAAATTTCAGGCCATGAGAAAGTGTCATTTTGCCTTCTCTAGTGATATGCCTGGTGTTACACACTCCAGTACTTGTTTGTTAGTCCCATTTGCTGTCCAAGTGATACGGAGGAGCTTTCACAGCTCAAAACAAGTAGATTTTCTTCCCTTTTTAAAGGTCCAACTATCATAACCATCCATAAGTTTAGTTTATTGTCATTGCACCTCGTACAATGAAATTAAATACCATCTTCAATGTACATTATGACTATGAAAATGAACACAAACACATATCCTTCGCATTCTATATAATTGAACTGAAAACCCCTGATACTGTATTAGTGTTGCACTGTACAGTAGAATTCAAAAGAGCTACTGCTCTGGGATAGAAGCTGTTTTCCAGCCTATTTGTCCTTGTTTTTATTATCCAGATGGTAATAGTTTTAAAAAAAGGTTCCCAGGATGAGATGGATCTTTAAGAGTGTTTTTGAACTTTCTTAGGGCAGCGGGAGCTATAAAGCTCTTCCAAAGAGGGGAGAGGGCAACCCATGATTTTCTGGGCAATGACATTAACCCTCTGGAGTGCTTTCCTATCTGCCCCTATGCAATTGGCAAACCAGACAGAGGTGCAGTAAGTTAAGATATTCTCTATGGTGCAGCGGTAGAAGGTCACCATCAGTTTTTCATTCAGTTGTTTTCTGAGAAGTCTCAGGTAGTATAATCTCTGCTGGGCCCTTTTGACTATAATAGAGAAAGCAATCTTTTTTTCCTCCCAACCTGCTGCTTTGTTGCTACTATCCCAATTAGATTTAAAGGAGGGAAAGCCTCCAGTGACCATCCATCAGGTTGCAAATAAGGTTGGGCTGGTAAGGCATTGCTCAGGTTTGGAAACATTCAGACATGCGGATTTGAACTTTTCAGAATTCGCCCCCAGTTAGCATTATCTGGCTTGTCATGCTGTTACTCCACGAGTTATGACGGCAGTTGAGCCCAAAGTTGATGTTGCTAAGCGAAACATTTGTAAAGAGAGTTTGCCCCATTTTGCGACTATTCTTGCCATGTTTGTTACGCAAATCATTGCGGTGGTTAAATGAGTCACACGGTCATTAAGTGAATCTGGCTTCCTCATTGAACTTTACTTTTGTCAGAAGGTCACAAAAGGGAATCCCGTAACTCCGGGACACTGACCGTCATAAATATGAACCATATGCCAAGCGGTTGAATTTTGATCATGTGAATGCTGCTACGGTCATAAGTATGAAAAACGGTCACAAGTCACTTTTTTCAGTGCCATCGTAACTTTGAACCGTCACTAAGTCAAAGACTAGACCCGCAAATAAGAGAAGAGCGGGTCAGTCTAACTTTCGTTAGTCTATATAATTGTCGTTTTCCCCCTCTAACTCTGCTGGGCCATTTCATTCTCTATCCTCGATGATCCTTTCAACTCCCCCCGCCCCCCACTCCGCCTTCCCTTCGGCGCACTGCCTGCCGGGATGGGGAGGCGGAAGTGGGCGGAGAGGCCGCTTCCGGTGAGAGCGGGGTTGGCGGGATAGCTGCAAAGCAGCGCGCGTGAGTCCGAAGCAAGCGCGTGGCGCAGCCAAGATGGCGGACGGGACAGGTGGGCGCGAGACGCGGCTTTCCCTCAGGCGCCCTCAGGGATCTCGAACGGCCGGCGGGGAAGAGGCGGGCGGGGGGCCGGGTGGAAAGGCCCCGGGGCTCACGCGGGGCCTCCTTTTTCTCCTGGAACCCCCCTCTCCCCACCCCGCAGTTTCTGAAAGGCTCGTAAAGGAGGGGAGCACGTGCTTCCCGGGCGCGCGGGGAGAAACGCACCGGAGCCCTTGACGGGGCGGCGGGAGTCAGGGAGGCTTTGCAAGAGGGTTGCAGGAACCTCTCCAAGCGGGCTGTGGAGAATCGGGGAGCTTCGGGTGTGGGGGAGCCCGGATTTTCCTCTCGCAGCGCCTTGGCCTCCAGGTTCCCCAAAGGGAGCTTTTCACTTTATCCAGAAGTGCAATTTGGGGACTCCCGCAGTCGGAGGCTGGCCTGGAAACCTTGGGCTGGGACGTTTCGTTATTGCTCCCATTATTATTTTATCCTTCCTTTTATGCGTGTGTGTATAATTATTTCGTTTCATTATTGCTCCTTTTTCATCCGTCCTTTTATATATAAATGTGTCTGTGTATAATTTCGCTTCATTATTGCTCCTATTATTTTATCCCTCCTTTTATGTGTATGTATATGCCTTTACGTGTGTGTGCATATATATGTTTATTATGTTTCATTGGTGCTATTTTATCTCCCCTTTTATGTATAAATGTGTGTGTGTGTGTGTGTGTGTATATGTATGTATGTATGTATGTATGTATTTCGTTTCCTTATTGCTCCTATGTCATTCCTCATATATAAATATGTGCTTGTGTGTGTGTGTATATATAATTATTTCGTTTCATTATTGCTCCTATTTTATTCCTCCCTTTATGTGTGTGTGTATTTTTCATTATTTTATTTTATTATTGCTCCCATTTTATCCCTCCTTTTATGTGTGTGTTTGTTTCATTATTTCGTTTCATTATTGTTCCTATTTTATCCCTCCTTTTATGTGTATGTGTGTGTATATTTATGTATATATGTGTGTGTGTGCATATATGTGTTTATTTTGTTTCATTAGTGCTTCTATTATTTTATCCCTCCTTTTGATTGTGTGTGTGTGTAGCGGCAAACATTCCTAATGCTCAGGACTTCTCTTTTTTCCCCAACAACAGCCCTGTGAGGTGGGGTGGCTTGAAAGAGAGTGATTGCCCTAAAGTCACCCATTGGGCTTTGATGGATGTATTTGATAGTTAATGTATGTGTTACCCTGATTGGATGAATGCCTTACATTGCTTTCCTGCTCATTAGTACTCCTTTTATCCTGCTTTTGGACACGTTTAACATTGAGTTGCATGGTTGTGTCTAATGTGAGTTGCTTGCAATGTATTGCAATTTTGTTGGTGTGATCCCAAATGGGCCTGGTAGGCCATTTTGGAAGATACATCTTTACATTGCAATCCACCAAATGTGTTGATGCTAAAAATTCAACCATGAATATATTTATCCTATTCTTATATATTTATAAGAAGTTTGAAATGAATCTTCTCTAAGTATAAATTCTCCAATTTTTTCATTCTCTTTGAGTCCTAATTATCTCATTACAAGAACAGTTGGGAGTTCTTGTTAAAATAGAAAAGTGTGTTGGATAAGTTGGCTGCCTTAAGTTATTTGTAAAAATAACAAAGGTGGGATACAAATAAATAAAAGGTATCAATATTTCTCCTTTTTTGTACTACCTTCATTCATCCAGCTTTTGTCAACTGTTTATTAAAATAATGTGCATAAACCTCATCAACATTAATCAAACTACTATAGCTTGATTTTGGTAGACCAATAAAGTGGTATTTCCAGATCTGTTTCTATCTTTTAAGTTTGTAACAGATGCTAATTTTTATTATTTTTGCTTATACCATTCAGTTTCTAAGAAACACAAGAAGAAAAAGAAGTCTTTGCCAGATGAAGATGTTGCTGTAAGTTTGCCGATTATTATAGTTTGCCAATTTGTGCAGCAAGCTGTTTTAAGCCTCATTGAGTGTTCCCAAATAAATGTATAATTTAACTTGCATTACTGGAACATTGCTAATTATTAACCCCACAACACAAAGATTAGCACTTCTACAATATCATTATCTACAGATCCCATTTTTATTTTTCTGTAGTGCTCATGATGTTTTCTCATGTGTCCATAATGTGCATATACATCTTTAGAAAGAATTTGTTACAGGTAGTCTTCAACTTAGAACCACAATTGAACCCAACATTTCTGTTACTAGGCAAGGAGATTATTCAATGAGTTTTGCCCCATTTTACACTTTTTTGCCACAATTGTTAAGTGAAACACTGTAGTTGTTAAGTGAATCATGCAGTCATTAAGCAAATCTTGCTTCCCCCGTTGACTTTGCTTGTCAGAGGCCGGCTGGGAAAGTCACAGATGGTGAACTCAGGACCATGCAACTATCATAGGGCTACATGCCAGTTGCCAAGTTCCCAAATTTGGATTGTGTGACCTTGGGATGCTGCAAGGGTTATAAGTGTGAAAATGAGCCATAAGTCTCTCTCTTCAGTGTCCTTGTAATTTCAAACGGCCATTGAAGAAATAGTTGTAAGTTGAAACTACCTGTACTATTCTTCTCTATTCTACTAGGCAATAGCTTCCCATCTGACTTATTTTTAAAAGTACTTTCTGAAGCATAGCGAAAGAAGTTTGACGATCTGAGCGTTCATTCATGGTTTTTTCATTTCTAATTTAAGCAAAAGTAAAGTCTTCCTAGAATCAAAGTCGACTCCTGACTTCACTGATAAGTCTGTGGCTTTCTTGGCAACCATTTAGAAATAGCTTGCCACAGGGCCATCTTAACAGCATTATGGGCCCCCGGGCAAAGCAGTGTAGTGGGGCCCCTACGACAACTACTCACAGGAATAAAAATGTAAATGGTATATAAAATTAAACACATATTTATTTTATTGGCACTTCCAACGAAATCATTGTTGCGACATTAAAAACATGCTCTGCAGCAATATGTTGCTGTATAAGATACAAGGTGCATTGATGGGTTAACATACACAGATTATTATGGTGCCTCTATGCTCGGATATGTGCCCATCAGGCCCATGCCTTAAGACAGCCCTGGCTTGCAGTTCCCTTTTTCTGGGATGGTTTTTGATTACCTGGTTTAGCCTGCAGCCATGGAATTCCTGTCTCGCATTCGGCTCTGTCCCTGCATAGCTCTTTAGCCCCACCAGATGGCGCTACCATCTGCAGAGATTAGAATGTGCTACAGCTTCCGTATTTCCTTACTGAAAACTATCCTTTGCAAGTCATTAATGAATAATATGATACAAGCACGTGTTTCATCTTTTGTTTTGGAGAGGCAGTTTATTTTAAGACCAATCTTAGCTGCAAGACAAGTTTTCCACATTCTTGTTCACAGTCCCAGTTATTAATCTACTAATCCGATTGTTTTTAGGATATACAACATACAGAAGAATTCCTTATCAAGCCTGAATCAAGAGTGGCCCAGCTGGATACATCACAATGGCCTTTGCTTCTCAAAGTAAGATAGTTACACCAGTGAAATAGGTTGGTTTAATGTCAGTGCGACATTTTTTTGTGCAGACACAAGATAATTTACAATTCAGAAAATGGTGGAAAATGGTCTTCATTTTTTTAAGAGTAAATTTCAGGTATTGGTGTCGTTATGGAGCTGTCAGTGCATATTATGCTCCAAGGAATTTATGTAGAGGCGGGAGGCAATTTGCAAAGGCTTTTTGCCAAGTAAAATCAGATGTATAACATCCAATAAACACTTTGGAGTATTGCTCCAAATTCCGATTTCCCTATAAACTAAATATAATTTTGCTTTGTTTTGGGGTTTGTAGAATTTTGACAAATTAAACGTGAGGACTGCACACTACACCCCACTTCCTTCAGGCTGCAATCCCTTAAAAAGAGAAATTGCTGAGTATGTAAGGTAAGATTGTGTTACACAATATAAAATCGCCTTTTCTTCCACCTTTCTTTGGCAACTTATGAAATTTCAGAATCACAAAGGGCTATTATCTTCTCTCCTTGGGTTTTCAGTACACCTATTTATAGGCACCAGTTTCTGTTTATAACAGTTGACAGTTTGGAAGAGAAAAACCTATCCATTGTTGTAGCACAGAACGTCGTAAATCATCTAAGGAATGTTTACTAGTTTGCCAAATTGAAAACAAGACAGAAACAAGAGAATCCAGTTTAATATTTTACAGATTAATGTTCATTGCAACTTAAACTTACAGTGAACCCTGTAATACGCTTGAAATCTTTTTTTTGGGGGGGGGAGCATGGATGCCTTCGAATCTATCTTGGTACATGGCAGTTGCCTAGATAAAAGTCACTGCAGTTTTCTTGGCAAGAATCCAGAAACGGTTTGCCATTTCCTCCTCCCTAGGGCTGAGAGAGTGGGGCTGGCCCAAGATGGTCCAACTGGCTTCTTGCCTGAGGTGGGACTAGAAGTCACAGTTGCCAGCCTTACACTTTAAACATTACGTTGTTGAGTTGGGTTTCTTTTACCTTCTTCTCGTTTTGAGTCATTACCTTAAATCGAATCCCTGGTTTTTGTCCTAGGACAGGCTTCATCAATCTGGATAAGCCTTCCAACCCTTCTTCCCATGAGGTGGTGGCCTGGATCCGCCGCATTCTCCGTGTCGAGAAGACAGGCCATAGCGGCACATTGGACCCCAAAGTTACCGGGTGCCTGATTGTGTGCATTGAGCGAGCAACACGTTTGGTCAAGTCTCAGCAAAGCGCAGGTACATCATCTGCTTTGTGTCTCTGCTTTGTGAGAGAGAGAGCCTTCAGCCTCGAGATGGAAAACAGTAAAATTCAAGTGGCCCCTCCTTACGACTCTTATGTCATCTTCCAGGCAAAGAGTATGTGGGAATCGTTCGGCTGCACAATGCAATTGAGAGTGAAATTCAGCTTTCGAGGGTAAGTTTTGGCCAGTCAGGAAATGAAACTTTCATCTCTTGTCTTTTATGTCTAACTATGGATGGGATGGATAAGAAAGGTCTAGCTGTGAAAGGGACTCGGTGGCTCAGAGGCTAAGACGCTGAGCTTGTCGATCAGAAAGGTCGGCAGTTTGGCGGTTCGAATCCCTAGCGCCGCGTAACGGAGTGAGCTCCCGTTCCTTGTCCCAGCTTCTGCCAACTTAGCAGTTCAAAAACATGTAAAAAATGCAAGTAGAAAAATAGGGACCCCTTTGGTGGGAAGGGAACAGTGCTCCGTGCACCTTTGGTGTTTAGTCATGCCGGCCACATGACCATGGAGATGTCTTTGGATAGCAATGAGCACCGTCCTCTAGAGCCAGGAACGACTTTATGTGCATTTACCTACGAATGTCAATTGCACCAGCAAATCATGGTTTGAACATAGAATGGTTGTAGGGATAGAATAGAAGGGCTATTAACCACATGCTGAGAATGTGGCTCTACTTTTGATGGGCATTTCAATATATTCAGGCTTAAATAACCACTCTGGCCATGTTTGGTCTTCCTTAATTTGATGCTTCCCTGAACCAGTGGAGGGTGTAGCTAAACTCCCTTTCACCTTTGTTTCTGAGCCGCTTGATATAATATTTGATTTTTTCTTTCTTTCTTTCTGTAGGCAATAGAAACTTTGACAGGTGCCCTTTTTCAGAGACCTCCCCTCATTGCTGCAGTGAAGAGGCAGCTGAGAGTCCGAACCATTTATGAAAGCAAACTGGTTGAATACGATCCGGAAAGAAGGCTGGGTAATGGCACCCTTTTTCCCCCCCATTCGGGGGGTGGGTGGGTGGGGGAGGTTGGCCCTTCTGGGACCTGGCTAAAAACAAAAGTCCCCTTCCTGCAGCTCTTTCTTTTTCCTCTTTCCCTGCAGCTTAGCCCGTCCACGGCTGCTTTTCCAGTAGCTTTGCTCTCCCTCCCGCCATTAGCATTTCCTGAGCCAAATGATGTAGAAATGATGACATAGCCCATCGTGCAAAGATGACATTTCATCTATCACCCAATTCTGATGGCTTGGATTGAAAAGAGTTTGCTCGTATTCTTACTGACAAGATGATATTCTTATCTTGGGCATCAAGTGTTTTTTTTTCTTTTTCCCCTCTGCCCCTTTTCCAGGTATCTTCTGGGTGAGCTGTGAAGCCGGAACCTACATCCGGACGCTTTGCGTGCATCTGGGTTTGTTGCTGGGAGTTGGTGGTCAGATGCAGGAGCTCCGGCGAGTCCGCTCTGGGGTCATGGGAGAGAAGGTGGGTCAAGGATTGGAACCTTTCAAGCAAGATGGCCTGATCTACCCCAAAGGGTTGAGTTCAGTTCAGGGTTCTCCCCCCCTGTGCTGGTAATTAAACTTTGGGACAGTAAATAGTTGGGAGGAACGTCGGGGTGGAAAGTTTCATTTTTCTGCCAGTCCGGCTCTCTCAACCCACAATATTATGCAGCATCCGAATGAGATGAATTAGATCAGGGGTGTCAAACCAGGGGTGGGATTCAAATTTTTTACCAACCGGTTCTGTGGGCGTGGCTAGGTGGGGGGGGGGGCTTTGCCAAAAAAGAAGCCCCCCCCCCCCCCCGGTTTTTTGGGTCTCAGGGAAGCCGCCTGGATGAAGCAGTAAGACAGCAAGGGGAATCCAGGCACAGCTGATTGTTGGGAGGGGGAGAAAAACACCTTAAGGAGCGATTGGGTGGGGAAGAACGCAGCCAGCAATGTTGGGCCTGTGCAATAAGCACTGACTGGGTGGGGAGGAGGGGAGGGGCCAGCCAGGGGCGCGATTTGCCAGTTCTCCAAACTGCGCAGAATCAATAACAACTGGTTCTATAGAACCGGCCCGGACCGGTAGAATCCCATCCCTGTGTCAAACTAAATTTCATTGAGGGCCACATCAGGGCTACGGTTGACCTTGGGGAGGGGGGATGGCTGAATAGGTGGCCAGTTTGACACCACTCCCCAAACTGCTAGCATGCTTCCTCTTCGCATTGGGTAGACCAGGCTGAAGCGACATGGGCCAGCTCCTTACCTTTTCCAGGATGGCCCTACAAGCCACATCTGGCTCGCAGGCCTTGAGTTTGACACCCCCAGATTAGATAGAATTACAGAGTCCCAAAACGAAAAACATGAAGGTAGGATTTCCCCCCTCTTACTAGTTATTTTAGCCCGTGGTAGTTTTTAACCTTTGTTTTTAAAACTTCTACAGTGTTGTGTAGGTATGTGTGGAAAAAGGTCCATCTTAAAAAGAGCAAAATTCCAGCTTCCTCTCACGAACAATTCAACTGAACTTTAACCTCTATAATGTTGCTAGAAGGCTCTCTAATAACCAGGGGCTGGCGGGGATCTCCTCCTAGGACCACATGGTGACCATGCACGATGTGCTGGATGCTCAGTGGCAGTATGACAACAACAAGGATGAGACTTATCTCCGGCGGGTGATCTTCCCTTTGGAGAAGTTGCTGGTTTCGCACAAGCGGCTTGTTATGAAGGACAGTGCGGTAAGTGCCCTCCGACGGCCTTCCGGTTGGTGGCTTGGAACTCTATTATAGTCACATTAGCGCAGCCGGCTCTCCCTTTCCAGCGGGGGGGGGGGGGGGGTTTGCTGTTGTGGTTCGCCGGCAGCAGGTGTGGACAGCTGAGGTCTCGGAGAGCGAGGACTCAGATGAGGGGCCTGCGTGTGATGAAGGGATGGAGCCAGGACCATCAGGGAGTGGAATGCTGCCTTTGGAGATTGTGGAGGCTGGCAGCAGTTATGAAGAGGTCCCCGAGGAGCCTGTGCCCAGTGCACGTGCGCGCATGGCTGCTCAAAGGAAAGAGCAACTGCAGCAGCACGGGCGACTCAGGACTAAGGCTGCAAGGTAATGGCCCCTCCCTTAAGAGATAAAAGCCAGCTGAGAAACCGGAGTTCTTTACAGAAGGCAAAGAAATTTGATACTTGAGCCTGGTGGACGTTAGAATATCTGAGTTAGTGTTTGGAGACTCTTTGATTTATTGTTTAGAAACTTTATCCGTTCTTAGCAGCCTTGCACAGGCTCTTGTTGGAGCTAATTAGTTGGAAGCTGCCGGATTCGTGAATGAAACAGTAAAAGGTTGTGCTGTTACCTTTGTCTTGTGTTTACTCTCTTGAAACCAGGTTTGGGTCAGAACAGTTGCTTAAAAGGAAGAGGAGAGGCAGGTGATTGTAGGCGGCTTTAACCTTATATCATCGGGTGTCAAACTCAAGGCCCAGGGGCCGGATCTGGCCTGCGTGGCCACCCTGGAAACAGCGAAGGACCGGCCTGCAGTGCCTCTGCCAGCGAAAACAGGGCTGTGCTTGGCCCTCCCAAGCTCCATTTTCACTGGCAGAGGGTTGCAGGAGGTCATCGCAGCCGAAAACGGAGCCCAGGAGCCCGTTTGTGCTGGCAGAGCACCCACCACGGGCGCCCCCTGACACGAGTGATGTTGAGGTGGCCACGCCCTCTCTCCCCCCAGCCCTTCCAAGGTCAAACACAACCCTGATGCAACAACCCTCAGTGAAATCGAGCTTGACGCCCTTGTTATGCATGAAATGGCACAATGTAAATCCAGAACATAAATAATCAATTGTGCCTGGGATTATTGCTCCCAGGCCAGAGATGGAATCAGTGTTTTTATTATTACTTTTTTTTACAGACTTGATTTCCCGGGTCAGGTCACTGAAATAAGTTCAAACCTGTTTATGTAAACTGGCATTTTAGGGAAGCTGGGAATTCTTTGTGCCTCAGCAGGCCTTTTTTTTTTTTCTTTTTTTTCTTTTTTTGCAGGGGTGGGGAGGGCCCTGTTCATTTCCTCCAACATAAGATTAAGTTTTGTCGTTTTTTTCTTTGAACACACTGGCACACATTTTAAAAATGAAATTCTGAAGCCTGCTCTCAAAAGAAATTACATATACACCCACAAACACACATACATACCTGTGCGAACGTGTAAGCGAGAAAGAGGAATGAAAAGCGCTGCCGAATTGAGGCAAGATTGCATGTTTTAGCTTTCCTCTGTGCTCCTTGTGCGCAACGTTCAAAGCTATGAAAGGTGGCGGTGTGTTGTACGTTCGCAAGGCTTAGAAATCAAAAGAAGCCGTTCCGGCTGAAAACGTAGAATTCCCTGCTTAAGCTAGTTGCTGCTTTCCATCCAGGTGAACGCAATTTGCTACGGTGCAAAGATCATGCTTCCCGGATTACTGCGGTACGACGATGGGATTGAAGTCAACCAGGAAATAGTCGTGATCACCACGAAAGGGGAGGCGATCTGCATAGGTGAGAATGGGAATCTGGCTGTCTGCGGCTGCCCTTCTGACGATTCTTCCCAATCGCGTCTTTCCTTCTAGAAGGCGGTGGAGTTTCTGTTTTTTATGCGATCATAACTGATTATTCTGGGGAGCTGTGCGTTGGCCTAGAGGTGGAGCTCTTGCCTCACAATCCAGGAGGCTGTGAGTTCGATCCTAGGTAGCAGCAGGTATTTCTCTCTCCGGGCACAATGAGTCAATATCAGCGAACTCTGTATTGGCGACAGGAAAGGCATCCAGCCAGTAAAAAGACTTCAGCTCCATTCAGTTGCCCTGACTCCACTCCGCTGCAAGGGACTACGGGGTCATTAAAAGACCAAAAAGGTATCCCCTAAGACTTGTTAGCAACGCAGATCAAAGATAAAGAGAGCTAGTGACAAATAATTGCTCTCAATTACTTCATTTCTTTTACTACGTGCTCCTTAGACGTACCCTAAAAGAAAGAAAAAAAAACTACACATCTAAAAAAGCATATTCTCTTTAAAGAGCCACTTTGCTTTCGTAGATAAGGCATCAGGCTAGAAGAAGGGCGAGTGGGAGTTCTAGTCCTGCACAAAGCCAGTTGGACCATCTTGGGCCAGTCACACACACTCAGCCCTCAGGAGGGGGGCAATGGCAGACAACTTTGGGGAAACCATGCCAAGAAAACTGCAGGATTTTGTCCTGTCAATCTCCCAAGAATTGGGCGTGATCAAACCGGGGGGGGGGTTGGGGTGGGGGGAAAATCCCTTGGCATTTGCCTGTTTTTGGATGTAAAAGTGCGACCCCACATAAAATGATGCTGTCAGTTTTACTTGCTAAGCGTTTGTTCTGGACACAGTAAATGTGTTTCTGGTGCCATAGCACAAGAGGGAAATTGCATGACTTACGGATGGTGGAAGAGCTGCTTTTCCTGCAGATCAGAAATGAGATTCTGCTCTCTCTCCCCCCCCCCCTTCTTGGTTTTTGCATGGCAGGTCCCTATAACCGGCACAGCTTCCTTGTGTCCTTGCTCCTCTTGGAAGCCCTCAGCGCCCACCTGCGTTTGCCCCGGGCTATATGTGAAGTGATGACGACGTTTTATCCATTCTCTGAGTGCCGCTTGCTCTGCCCTTCCTGTCACGCCGAGGCTTCAGTTCTGCGGCCTCGACGTTCCGTGGCTTCTAAACACCTTCCGGGCTTCCAGTGTTCTACTGGAGGTTGTGGGGATGTTTGGCTAGCTGCTGACTGGACCTGGGCAGGGGAAGCAGGGCCTGACCCCTTTCCTATGGGGCCCGACTCAACAAAGAAGAATGAAACTGTCTGATCACATTTGGCTCTGG